ACCATTCTATAATTTTCCAAATGTCTAGCGCATTTAGAGGGAAAAAGGACTAGAATCGGTTTTGACTATGATAATTAAACAACTATCAAAGGACGATCCAAATCTCGATGAGGATTAGTCGCTTGTAAGTAGTTAGAAGTATGATATTGGATGGACCATATCGACATTATTATGAATAGATAGGATTCTATTAAGAATGAGTTGTCATATGGCAAACATGGAAATGTTTCCATATTGGGAGTTGGATATTGAGAGTCTATGTCTAGATTAGAAAATTTTATGCAAAAGGATGTTCAAAGGAATGTACTTTGAGTGAAAGACATCATGTCTATGGAATTGTATTGTAACAATCTCAAATAGGGAGCTTTGTAATTTCATTGGCAATAGTCATTGTGATTTTTGTGCTATGACATTACGAAAGGATCATTGCATAAAATGTTAGAATCTAGCATATTCTATAAGTAGCAAGAATTTGATATTCTTACACTTGTGATAAGGATTGGGAGTTGTGAAATGAGTGTGATTGGAAATGTGTTCATTTAACCTATTTCACAAAGTAAGGACCATAGGTAAACATTGTGTGCATGCTAAGCGCATAGGACAAGTATAGTTATAATTCAAGTAAGAAGTTGATTACCCGAAACAACAAATAATGAGTAATCAATATGGTGATAAATAAAAGGTGTTTTATTTATACTCAAAGGTTTGAGGCCATATGGGATTAGTATTATTCTTGTGTTTCACTTTGCATGTTTTGACTTCTTGAATAATTTAATTGGTTTAGAACAGTCAAATTATTCGAACGGACCACAATCGTTCATATGTTGGAAGTATGTATGAATGAAGACTGTCGTGAATTGGTGTGTGGATTGTCTAAAGTTTATTAGACATAAGCGATTGTTTGCTGCAACGTTCATGAGTGCTTATGAATATGATTTTAGTATTGGATTAAACCCACGCTCACTTGGATCACTTCATGAATTGTATCACGTGTGATTGGTGAGACGATAACATCTTATATTCTTGAAACCGAGATGTGTGAGTTGTATCTTGCGAGTCGGTTACACATTGATAATATGTAAACGCACCAGTAACTTGGTGTTATAAAACATATTGTTGTGTGTAATTCGGTAAGTGAGTGCAAGCGAGCATTGAGTCAAAGTTTATCCATTCCTTTAATCCAAAGTAGGATAAAAGCGATATCTTTGGGCCCCTCGATGATTTAGTGATGGCACCTAAGCGCTTGGCCAAGCCGGGACTAAATTGATGGATCAATTGTAGTCTGTTGCCAGTCATCATAAATCGAAAGTTGGGAAATAGTATAGAGGGAATGATTAAGTTCATGTCTCATATCTATACGATATCTAGAATGGAGGAATATATGATCCCTTATCTAAAGGATATGCATATCTGATAAGATCAGAGTTGACAGCGGCTTTGGAAAGCTAAGATTGCAGATCAGGATCTGAAGTCATACGCAGAATAGTTATTAGACTTATCCAAGTGGGAGACTGTTGGATTAGTGTCTAAGTCCATAACTATTGTGGTATGTAATTGACCCGATGATGCATGGTCCTTTTGGGTTGCCTTCACCAAAGCAACTTGATAGGATGAATTATGGAGATAAATGATTAATTATGATTTATTAATATATTATGAGAATAATATATTAAAGGAAAAATCATATTGCTTAATTAATATTAGTCAATAATTAATTAGGAATTAATTTTGTGGCTAAAAGACATTAATTAAACTTAAAGGACTAGAACTGTCAATTGTATGATAGTTGAATATTGAGCTAATGGACTCCATATTAGTGGGGTGGACGAATTCTATGGGGAAACCCATTAGAAATCGTCCTAGGCCTTTAAGGAAGGAGTCCATGGGTTGCTTAGGGCCTAAGCATCCAAATTAGGGTTTCCTTGTTAGATAACCCTAATAGCCTCACTATTTAAAGATCCCCAGAGCACCAAAAACGTGTGGAAGCAACTCCTTAGGGTTTTGGACGGTTTTGGGCATCCTCCCCTCTCCTTATTCTTCATCCTCTTGCTCTTGGTTTTTGTGAGCCATTAGAGGAGTGACAATTGTGACTTTAAGCTTTCTAAAGTCATTGTAAGGAGGAATTGAGATTGTTATTGCTACATAACAATCAAATGTAATTCTCTAAACCCTAATTTCAGTTTATAATATGTTAGATCTAAGATTGTAAGTCTTGGATACATTGCATGTACAATAGAGAAACCTAGATCCAAGAATTAGGGTTTGTATGAGCACATAGGATTGTTCTTATGTCTAAAACCCATCAGATTATTCAATTGTTAGTCACACGAGCTCCCCAGACGTTTCTGTCATTTGGTTCGGGGGTATGACAGGTTGGTATCAGAGCAATGTTTATAGGGAACTAGCATATCTAACCATACGTGATATGTAACTATAAACACAATGGGACTAAACAACTTTGAACAAAATAAAATTTCACACTTATGTGCGCATATTAGGATAATAACCTAACAATACTTAATAAAAGGTTCCGGAGGAAATTGAACACTATGATTAAACCTGGGCAGTTATGTAGTCATATTAGGGATAAATATAGTCTGATCAACTATATTTATTCAGAATATGACCAACATGTGTTCAGGGGTAACCATAGCGGGAAATGAATCCAAAGCCTACCTCACTCTCTAATTACTCTAGGGAACCCGAACACAAATAAGTAAAAACATTATAAGAGTAATTAAATATACTATAGGAATAATCAAAACATGACTTGTTCCCGCACCCATTGTGACATCCTCATTTTCACGGCCAGAAAAGACCGATTTTGTTTATGCTTTATAAAAAATCAGAGTACCTCTTTTAGTAAAAATGTTGCGGAATTTGTTCCCGGTAAAACATGATAAATACGTTATCAAAGCATTTCCGAAGAAAATTATTTTTATTCATTTTAAAACATTTGGGATGTCATCGTCAATAAAGAAACATATGCATAAACAGAACTTACGTGCATTATCACTAGTAATTTATATCTCCTTAATCTCTTAGTGTAATATGACTTCATATGAACACCTGTGATATAAATAAATTGAGTTGGCCAGGTTGGGAAACTTGGTAAGTACATAGGTTTTTCAACCCACAATAAATAAGTTTATTAACTTTATCAAACCAAACAAACCCGATTACCCGTTCCCGTTATCCTCACTTTACGTCCCTAAAACATCTAAGACAAGGGACCTAGTCTAAGGGACTTTCATCGCTGTGACAACACATGATTTGGGGGTTCCTCAACAATTCATGTTAAATAAGGCAACCATGTGGGGGCTGGAGTATTGTTGGTGAGCACACAGTTCAAATAAACACCTACAGGTTGCGAGCCTGATAGCGTTCCACTAGACTGTCTAGAATAGTCTGTGGTCGTCATTTATACTCCGCTAGATGACTGGATCATCAATAACATCTATAACGAGGCCTCTCATTATTTTACTTTGTCACACAACAACTATTACGTCTACCCATGTTTTACCCAACACGTTTTGTAGATATAAAATACATATACAATTTAAATCATTTAAAACGTGTATAAAAATATTTCACCCAGCATAGACAACAAGTATTAAGACAATATGCACACATAGCACGTAATTTATATTAAATACTTCATATCTATGTGTAAGATGAAAGGGTCCATGCACTCACTTGAAAAGGTGGTGATTCCGAACTCAGACAGTGCTTCGTTTCTTAAAAATTATTTCATTCGACGAAACCTAGTATTATTACCACTAGAGTTTAGTATATTATTCGCCGAGACTAATTAATAGTCTAGGTATTATTACTATTATATGACTATTAAACAATACTTATATAACCCATAATAATATCCCTAGTACTTATTATAAGTTCCTAATAACGTTACTATATTTAAATAAAAGTTATATTAAAAATAGTGTAGGCGTAGCTTACTTATAGCGGGTTTTATATAAAACCAAGATTTGCTTGGAGCAGTGTTACCGAGCTGAAAAGCTCTTCTTCTCAGAGCCGCCGAGCACTCCGGGGCTTCCACCTTGTGCTAGGGAGGTTCCCTATGCTTTTCAGGGGGTTTCGAGGGCTAGAGAGAGGTTCTAGAGAGAGAGAGAGAGTAAAGAGAAGAAAGAATGGGAAAGGGGTGAAGAAAATGAGGGTGGGAGAGGTTCTATTTATAGGGTGAAAAATGGCTGAACTTGGTGCCACATGTCACCATCTACTGGCGAGACTTGGGGAGAAAACAATGGCTAAGATTGTGCCACATCACCCATTTTCGTACAACACACTTCCGACTTTTAAAATCCGGAAATTTCACATACGACCTCCGTTTTTGACATTCTTTATATCCACACGTAGGTAAAAAAAAACATCTACAACTTTCATTTTGACTCCGTCGTCTAATTCTCGATCGATCTTAAATTTAACAGTGCGAGGAGATTATACTGTTAAATGTCCGCGTAAAATTCATAACTTCTACATACGGACTCTGTTTTTGTCTGTCTTTTTACCTTTGAGTTCCTATTAATGAGATATTCAATTCTAATTTAGGTCGCGTAGGCCAAAAACCGCTCGAACTAAAATTCGAGTTTCGGGTTGTGCACTGCTAAGCCAAATCTTAGAAAATTCATAACTTCCCATTCGAAGTCAGATGTGGGCGTTCTTTTTTTGTATGTTATTGGTTTAACATATACTACAATTTTTTTTAGATTTCTAAGGCTAAAAAGTCCTACATCGTAAATTCATTATTTATGTCTCCCGGTGTCGTGCCGTATTTGCCGTAAAACTTCGACGGACCATAACATCTTCGTTATAACTCGGATTTCAACGTTATTTATATGTACGGAACCTTTGAGATGTATTCTACAACTTGGTTAAGATTATTTATTCTAAATAATATTTTGTCAAAAAGTCGTTTTCGACCCCTATTATCTTTAAATTGACTAGCCCGGATCTACGGGCGTTACACCCATGCAGTCAGCATGGATGATGATCAGCAAGGGGTACACTTCTACCAAGTTCTAGTGACTCAGGAGTGCTTGAGGAGGATCCTAAAGAAAACCCCGATGGAGGCCTTGCCATGGGTCAATAGGTGGGACCCGAAGTGTAACCGGAAGAGTATGAGGTAACTGATTACGAATATGACGAGTCTGACCAGGAGTTAGTTGAACTGTTGAAGGAAAGGACGTTGAGGAGGCGCACAATGAACCCCATCTATCGAAAGCCCCATCAGATCCACGCACGGTTCAGAAGGGTGATGCATACCATTTACACTCTCTTGAGGAAGAAATAACAAATCTCAAGTGTGAACTCTTTGCAACCGAAGCAAGGGTTGTACGAGCCGAGGGTAATCACCCAAGAGGCAAATGAACTGGTTGAACTTCTGATACGTCAACTCGACGATTGAGTGTCATCGTCATCACTACTGATGGGCTTGCTCTACTACTTGCTATATAGGTGTCACAGTATCCGAAACCAGCCGTATCTCCTACTAACATTGTGATTCTTCTAACGTGTACTACCCTACGTACTATCAACTCTATGTTTAAGTGATTACACTACTCATAGGTTCGTCACGCTGCTGGATTTTATATTTCTATGTACTATATGCCTTTTGGCAAATTTTCATGTATCAAAACTATTAATATTAATGAAAAAGGCTTTATGTTTTATCATGACATTGTTATCTGTTATGTGTTATACTTCCTTGTTTTATGTCAATGTGTGAAATTACTTAAGTACATGCTATACACCTAGTCTATAGGATCACAAACTCGTAAAAAGCATAGGTACTTAACATCTTTCCATTCCATGACAGAAGGATGCCTCAACGACCCACCCGTGGAAACCCCGAGCCGTCACCTACAGAAATTAACTCGGTTGCATTCCAGGCAGCAGTGTCTGCTATGGTCACTACAACACTTGCACAAATTCGCAACGGAAACAACAGAGAAGGAAACGGACAGGGCACTGGAAGTAAAAATCAAGGAACAAATCATGGAGCCGCAGGAACATGCACCTACAAGGATTTCACCAACACCAAACCTCAGACCTATAATGGGACAGGAGGTGTCATAGCCCTGAAAAGATGGATTAAGAAGGTAGAGTCTGTTTTTGAAATCTGTGGATGTCCGGATGATTGTAAAGTTAAATTTGTAGCCTGCACATTCATTTACCAAGCTCTCTCCTAGTGAAATGGCGACATGGAGGCCATGACACTCCTAGTGGCGAACGCGATGCCTTAGGAAGAGCTGAAGGGGATGATGTTAGCAGAATATTGTTCTAGAGGTGAGATACAGAAGATGGAACATGATTTGTGGAACCTCACAGCTCAAAACTCCAATATCGATGCATACATATCCAGGTTTAGTGAGTTATCCCTTCTATGTCCCGGAATGATCACCTTAGAAGAGAAAAAGATTGAAAGATTTGTCTGGGGACTGACTGAACCTATCCAAGGGAATGTCATTGCAGCAAACCCTAAGACATTTCATTACGTTAAGAGACTGACCAAGAAACTGTACGATCATCGGAATAAGAAGGGTGCCAAAACAGTGGAAGCAGAGGTTAAGAAGGAAGAAAAGAACAAGAAAGGGAAAAACAACAAGCGAAAGAGAAAGAAAAGACCAAAATCCTCTAAGAAGCAACAAACAATGTATGTCCATGCTGCAACACAAGCTACGACCACACCACATGCTCCAGCCTCATCTACACCAAATGCTTCCAAGCAGTATGCGGGAAATCTCCCGAAGTGTAACAAACGCAACCTCCACCATCACGGGGAGTGCAGAGAGATGAGTTGCACAAGGTGCAATCGGAAGGTTCATACAGCAAAGTATTGCAGGACTCAGCTTCAACATAACTAGATGACAACCACCAACAAAAACAACACTGGAGCGAGCTATACCTGTTACGGATGTGGGAAAACTGGGCATATCAGGCGAAACTGTCCTAACACGAATAATAAAGCGACAAGAGTACCAGGGAGAGTAAGGACAATGGGTCAGGGTGAAGTAGTGTAGGACCCAGTCGTTGTCACCAATACGTTCCTACTTAACGACTCGTATGCATGCATTTTATTTGATAGCGGAGCAGAGCGAAGTTTTGTGTGTAATAACTTCAAACATCTACTAAAACAACAACCCCAAAACCTTAATGAAGCCTTCACGGTGGAAATGGCTAATGGGAAGACCGAATCAACTAAGGATATCTATGTAGGGTGTGCACTAACTCTAAATAATCAGACATTCCAAATAAACTTAATGCATGTAAATATTAGGAGTTTTGATGTGATCATCGGCATGGCTTGGTTGAGACCCCATCATGCCGATATTATATGTCACGAGAAGACCGTTCGCCTTCATCTTGCTAACCACGAAACCCTAATAATCTACAAAGATAAACCCGACGCAAACCTTCGCCTTATCTCGAGCATCAAGGCACAAAAGTGTTTACAAAAGAAGAACTACGCGTTCCTTGCTCACGTGGTGGATAAAACCAAAGAGGAAGCGAGAATTCAAAACATCCCAGTGGCATGTGACTTCCAGGATGTGTTTCCAGAGGTACTTCCTGGAATATCCCCAGAACGACAAATCGAATTTCGAATCGACCTAGTGCCTGGAGCCACTCCAATTGCCAAATTACCTTATAGGTTGGCTCCTGCAGAAATGCAAGAATTATCAAGCCAACTGAGCGAACTCATGAATAAAGGATTCATTAGACCAAGATTCTCTCCATGGTGAGCTCTGGTTCTTTTCGTTAAAAAAAAAAAGACAGATCCTTCAGGGTGTGCATTGACTATAGGGAACTGAATAAGCTCACCATCAAAAACGGGTATCCACTTCTGTGGATCGATGATCTATTTGACTAGCTTCAAGGGGCTAGTTACTTTTCAAAGATAGATCTGAGATCCAGTTATCATCAACTCAAAGTCCAAGATAAGGAAAAAATTACCCAAGATAACTGTCGAATTGGATGCAATATGGGTAATTGTAGATAGATTAACAAAATCCGCTTATTTCCTGCAAATAAAAGAATCCAACAAGATGGAAAAGCGGACTTGTATCTACCTCAAGGAGGTTGTGAGACTCCATGGAGTGCTAGTATCTATTATCTCGGATCGAGATAGCATATTCATTTCCATATTCCGGCAATCTCTTCAGAAGGCAATAGGAACACAGCCAGATATGAACACTGCCTACCACCCACAGACGGATGTTCAGAGTGAGTGTACCATCCAGACACTCGAGGATATGCTCCAAGCTTGCATGGTTGACTTCGGTAATTCATGGGATACCCATTTTCCTCTGATCGAATTCTCTTATAACAATAGTTACCATACAAGCATCAAGGTTGCTCCCTTCGAAGCACTCTATAGTCGCAAATGCAGATTGCCCCTATGTTGAGCCGAGGTGGGTGACACTCAAATAGCAAAAGGGAATTCGCATGCCAGTGCTCTTACAAGACCCGAAATCATTCGTGAAACAACCGATAAGATAGTCCAAATCAAATCTCGACTTCAAGCATCACGAGACCGAAGAAAGAGCTATGCTGACAAGCGACGAAAGCCACTAGAATTTCAAATCGGGGATCGCATGCTATTAAAGGTCTCTCCATGGAGGGGAATGATTCAATTTGGGAAAAGA